TCTTTGTTCGCTTCCATTTTTAACACCCTGTAACTCACAACTGAATGCACAAAACCCGGTAAGGAAACAAAACCCGGTAAGGAAAGTTCAAAAGTCGGACGGGGCCGACTATATTATACCCTTCACCACTTTGGATACATACAAGAGATGCTAATATATACAATATCCTGTAGATAGAACAAACATTGCATCTATGGAGAACCATTGTATTGGAATCGGGCGAAATTAAATGTGTGATCTACATAGATATTTGAACCAATGAAAAAACTATACACATACCATTCTGATATATTGAAAAATTGCATGCCAAACCTTGGATTTGGTCCACCATACATATACTGACAGGTACTTGAAAAAAATATAGGGATCATACCAAAAAGTGTACCTATACCGACATTTCTACAAACCGATTATGGTTTTAAATATTGGTCCTAGACCCCACACAGGGGCTAGGCCTAAATGCGTGTTACGGTTCATATATATATTAGGTTAATGTTCTAGTTTTTTTCGTATCTTACGCAGATGAAATGATTACAACAGAGCCTTAGAACCAAACCCAAACACGGAACAAATCATATAACTATTTAACTAAAAAAGGGGGTTATATGGGGAGGACCCCAAAAAGGGGGCGAATATTTAAAATTTTTGGTAGAGAGATTTGTTACCATATACGACTTCATAATACCAAATTGCAGCAAATTCGATTGAAAAGCGCACTCAAAACCCCCAAAATACCGAAAATTAGGGGGTACCCTTATATGGGGGCTATCCGAAAAAATGGACGTATATTTATAATTTTTCGTGGAGATATTTGGTTTCTATTAAGAACTCTAAATACTAAATTACAGCCAATTCGGTGGAAAAATACGATCAAAACCCCAAAAATACTGAAAATTAGAAGGTACCGTTATATGGGTGCAACCAGAAAAAGTGGACCTATATTTATAATTTTTTGTGGAGACATTTGGAACCCAATAAGAACTCAATGTACAAAATTTCAGCGTATTCGGTTGAAAAACGTGCTCAGAACCCCAAAAATACCGAATATTGGGGGGTACTGTTATATGGGAGCTATGCCTAAACGTGGACCGATATATCCCATCTTCGAACTTGACCTGCCTGCAGACAAAAAAAACTCTATGGAAAATTTCATCTCCCTATCTCAATTCCTTTAGAAGATATCGTGATTATAACAGACGGACGGACGCATATATGGTGCATATATATGGGAGCTATATCTAAATCTGAACCGATTTTCTTCAATTTCAATTTTACACTGCCAATATTGGCCCGATTTAGACAAAATTTAGCTCAGAGTATTGAATTAGGTCTAGATTGATATGTGTCAAGTTTTGTTGTAATCGGTTCAGATTTAGATATATCTCCCATATATAGTTCCGATTTTTGGTAAATGGTGTACCAAACTGAAAATGTTTGCCCGGTTGGGATCAAATTTTACACAGAGTGCGGAATTTAGTCTAGTTTGACATCTGTGAAGTTTTGTTCAAATCGGTCCAGATTTATATATAGCTCCCATATATAGTTTCGTCCGATTTTATGTAAATGGTGCACCAAACTCCCAATAATGGTCCGATTTAAACAAAATTTTGCACTGAATTCAGTCCAGTTTGGCATCTATGAAGTTTGTCTTGAAATCGGTCTAGATTTAGATAAAGGTCCATATATATTTTCGCCCAATTTGCACCGATGGTGCACCAAACTCCCAATATTTGTCCGATTGAGACAAAATTTTGCGCAGCATACTGAATTAAGTCCAGTTTGATGTGTGTGAAGTTTTTTATACCCTTCACCACACTGTGGTACAGGGTATTATGTCTTTGTGCATATGTTTGTAACAGGCAAAAGGAAACGAGATAGACACATGGTTCCTTTTGAGAATAAGCATAGAATCACTTTCTGAGTCGATTTATGCATGTCTGTCCGTCCGTCCGTCTGTAGATGTTAAATTGTAAACACAGTACAGGTAGCATTTATGATTCGATTTGGATGAAATTTGGCACAAGTCACTTATTTGGCCCAAGGACGAACCATATTGAAATTGGGAAAAATAGATATAGCTCCCATATATATCTTTCGATTTGCACGAAATTTGGCACAGAGTACTGAATTAGGTCCAGAATGATATAGCTCCCATATATATCTTTCGATTTGCACGAAATTTGGCACAGAGTACTGAATTAGGTCCAGAATGATTTGTGTCAAGTTTCGAGAAAATCGGTTCAGATTTAGATATAGCTCCCATATATAGTTTCGTCCGATTTAAGGTAAATGGTGCACCAAAGTCCCTACATATCATTCGATTTGCATGAAAATTGGCACAGAGTATAGAATTAGGTGCAGAATGATGTGTGTCAAGTTTCGAGAAAATCGGTTCAGATTTAGATATAGCTCCCATATATAGTTTCGTCCGATTTAAAGTAAAAGTCCCTATATATCCTTGGATTTGCATATATATTTTCCTCCGATTTAAGGTAAATGGGTCTCCAAAGTCCCTGTATATCTTTGGATTTACAGAAAATTTGGCACAGCGTACTGAAATTTGGCACAGCATACTGAATATAACCTAGCTTGAAGCAACCCTGTATCTGACCAAGTGAAAAATTTAGTATATGTTGCATAATAACATGTTTATGGATCCAATTTCATTTTACAGGTCCTTCAAAAATTCGACGTCTGTTAGGATTCATCTGTTGAATATGCCCACAGTGGTGAAGGATATCATATAGTCGGCCCCGTCCGACTTTACTACTTTCGTTACTGGTTTGAAATTTGTTCAAAGTTACATATATCTCCCATACAAAATTTTGCCGGTCTTCATACAAATGTTACACCAAAATCAAGTCTGCCCAATTGACATGCAATTTTTTAATAGATTTCAGAATGTCATGTGTATGGTTTTTATTGGTTCAAATATCTATGTAGATCACATTTGTTTTTTATCCGAGACCATGTCAATAGTCATCCATCATCCACAGGATGTTGTACACATTATCATTTCTTGTGAAGGGTATCATATAGTCGGCCCCGTCCGACTTTTGAACTTTCCTTACTGGGTTTTTTACTGCGAAATATCAGCCTTCCAACAAGCATAAATCTGAATTTGTTTGATCGATACTTTATGAGAAATCTCTCCGTATAATGGATTTATTTTTCCCCAACCTAATATATTCTTGATCAGCGTAAAACTCCATGGCAATTTAAGCATGTTCGTCTGTCTATTGTAATCACTCTAGCCGAATTGAGATAGATTGTCAAATTTTTGCATAGAGTTGTCTTTTGTCTGCAGGCAGGACATGTTCGAACATGGGTTATATCGGTCCACATTTAGGAACCCCCAATATTCGGTATTTTGTGATTCTTGAGTGTTTTTTCAACCGAATTCGCTGAAATTTGGTACATTGGGTTCTTATTGGGTACCAAAATTTTCCACTAAAAATTATACAAAATTATACGATAGCCCCCCATATAACGGTACCCACTAATTTTAAGTGTTTTGTGGATTTTTGGAGTATTTTTCCAACCGAATTCGCTGTAATTTAGTACTTTGAGCTCTTATTGTGGGTACGTATGTAAGGGTACCCCGCAATTTTCAGTATTTTGGGGGTTTTGATCTTATTGGGTAATAAATCTCCCTACTAAAAATTATAAATATAGGTAATTTTTTCGGGTAGCGCCATATAAAGTATCCCCATCATTTCGGCATTATTTTCGGTATTTGGGCTTATTGAGCGGGGTTTTAACCGAATTCGTATGTGCCGTATGTGGTAACTCTCCCACCCAAAAAATTATTAATATTCGCCCCTTTTAGCAGTAGTCCTCCGTTAGTATCAGACCACGTTTTGACGGGGAAATATCCCCCATAAAAATTTTGTATTTGATGTAAACCATTATACATGTAGAATTATCACTATAGATCCACTTTTTGGTATGTCAGTATACCTATGGTGTAGGGTATGCAAAGTTCGGCCCGGCCGAACTTAACGCTTTTTCCAATTGATTTTTTTTATTTCTTTACTACAGATACCACCATAGTATATGACATTTATTTTTTCATTGAAAAATTCACCTACTAACGTTTTTTATTTCCATATTTCCCCAAAGTTGTTAAAATAAATCCTCATCCTCCGCGACAGATTAATTTTACCACTTGCTGAAGCTATACATAATTTAAATGTCAATTTTACTTTTTCCTGTTACTACAGCGGAAATCTTCTTATTACTCTGCCTTTCAGTAAGAAAAAACAAACAGACCCAAACAACCATGCCTACTCCCACTTTTATATATGAAAGCCTACTACAATAAATATACGTATACGTACGAGGTAACACCACTACACTTCAAATCTAATAACTTGAAAACTGCTTGCTATAATAGGATTTTTGTTGAGCAAGATATATATGAAATTTCGAAAGTAAGGTGGCTTTCCAGATTAATTTTAATTAGTTTGTGCTTTGTGGTGGAAATATATTTCAAACCGACAAAATGGGAAATATTCTCTATGCGATATAAATAAAAGGGAGGAAACGAACGAGTGAGCGAATGAACGAATGGGTGAGAAAAGAAATTAAGAATTGCAAAATATTTCTATTTACATAATCCGATGAATGACAATAATAAAAATTTTCGTCGGCATTGAGAATGAAAATTTTACATTTCGAATTGGCATTGCATTGCCACAACCACAAAAGTAGATTTTAATGAATTGCATTGAGAGGCTGGTTGGTTGGCATTGTAATTGTGCAAATTAATGATGGTGATGGGAGTGTGCGTGTGTGTGTTGAAAACTATGTTGAGATATGAGAAATAATTTTGAGAGCAAAACCCGAGTTGTTCGATTGTTGAATTTTATCTCAGCCTATATAACCAACTAGCATACAATTGTGCTAGAATTCCAAAATAACACATCTTATTGAAAAAATCTGTAATATGGTTAAATTTTTTTCTAATTGCGTTGTTTTCTTCTATTTCCTCTTTCCAGGTCATCACAATTGCCCCTCAGGTTTCGATGAATCCGAAGAGGAATGTGGTACAGCACGAAAACTGCTCGAACTGCCTGGCGGTGTATTTGCAGCGTTGGGCTGTATAGCGGCGGCGATAACCGCCTGCCTGATATTCTGCATATTTGGCTTACTGAGAAAACGTAAGAAAACTGTATTACAAAAATCTATTATTAATGGTGGTACTTTGAAAAAGGATTTCAAAAAAGACTCGCTCTTTATTGATCCGTCTTCCTGACACGGGCTGCAGCCGGTCGAATATATACATGTCGATCGGGAGACCACAGTGTGATGTGATGCCAGCAACGAGGCCAGCATGGAAAGACGAAGAATTGTTTTATTAGTAATTCTAGGTACTACTATATAAAAAAAATTAATTAAAAAGAGAAAAAATGAGAGAGCGAGGACACATGAGCACAGCAAGTGATCTCGGGGAGTTATGTGGAAAATGGAAATAGACAACTCTACTGTATACTAATGAAAACAAAAAAACACACACACAATAGCAATTATTGGTACTACAATAAGAACAAGAAGAAGACCAGCAGGATGAAATTAAGGGGGAAGGGAAATTCTCCCCACAAAACCAAAATTTTTCTAAATGCTTGAAAACCAAACAAACAAAAAACCCCAAAAAACCAACTCTTTATAGCGTAAAATAATTATACTTTAAAACAACAAATCAGTATTAAGGAGCAAAAATACTTTATTATAAAAACCAACAAAAAAAGACGAACACAAAAACAACAACAACCACAAGGAAGACGAGACGAAGTAGAGACAAAGAAAATTACTTTACAACCAAAAAAATAAGTTTTATGAGTTTTTGTGTTTTCTTTTTTAACAACAACAAGAACAACACCATTATCATCAGGACAACTTTGTGCAAAAGGATTTTACTTTTTTTATTAACATCATCAACAACAACAACAACATCAAGAAGCCGTAGCAAAATCAAGAAACTTAGAGAAAGATGGAGACAAAAAATCAATACAATCACTGCCTTACAACAAAAGAAAAAAAATTAAAACAAAAACAAACGATACTATGAAACTATTTAAAATTTATATTGAAAAATTTCTTTAAATTTTTTATTATTATTATTATATATTTATAATAATTTGTATTATAAAAACCAAATAACAAGTAAACAAAAAAATGCATATAGTGGCTGGGAGGTGGAACATCTGATAAATCGATTTTAAATATTAAAGAAAATTTTGAAAATTTTTAGAGTAAAAATTATAAAAACAATTTGAATATAAAGTACGTCATTATTTATTTAAGTCCATTTTAACTGACCTTCTATAGTTTATGTTGAGAGGAGAGTGGTAAATGACAAAACTCAGAATTGATTTAACTAACAATTCATACAATTACAATCAGAATCTAACATAAAAGTTCGATTTAAATATCAGGAACTGAACTGTTTATATTTAAAGACTGAAAAAATGTTATTAATGTGTTGGGCATAATGAGGACTTTTAATGGTGAATATTGGGTATTGAGTAGTATTCGTAGCTATAAGCCTTTCTGAGCAATGAACGAGTGAAAGTGGGAAAGGTCTATGAAATCATAAGAAAATCGATTTTGAGGACACAATTTAAAATCTGAGCGATATTTTTGTAGAATATTTGGAGGCCAAAAATCTCATCTTATTGGTATTTTCTATGGTTCAAAAGGAGGATATGTTTTACAAAAATAATACTCATTTGATTGACTGAAGTCATATAATTTTAAAATTAACCTGCAATGAACGCAAGCAACCATATAACGCATTTTCTTCATGAACCCACAATAATTCAATATCGGAAATTGTACATCAAAGTATGATAATACAGAAAATCGTATATGTTTAGTTTAAGAGGACTTCCCAACACGTGGTCTTATTTTTATACCTCTTTAGCGCAGTTCATTTAGATGAACATTTTTGGGTTAAGACTATACAAAAATCGAAGGATATCTTTATACTAGGGGTGGCGTAGCACAGTGTATAGTGGAGGAGGATCAATTCGTTCAACGTGGTTTTCAAAAATTTGTAAGAGTCTTACATTCCCCTCCAAATGAAATTCATCCGTACAATACAAAATAGGAATGCCAGAAGATAGCACCACCTAGAGGAAAATGTCAAAACTAAATATGCTGTACAAAATTCAATGATGCATTGTTTCTAGGCAGTGATAGATGGCAGCACCATCAGCTGAGACAGGTTACAGCAGGCCAATCATCTATTTAGTTAAAATAAACCGATGAATAATGAAACTAACACGAGACTCATAATAATAATCATGTAAGATAGCGAACGGCGAAGAGCTTAAGACTATAAAAATCTGGCGGCATCATTAAAATAGCAGCGTAATTCGACCTAAAATTGTGGTCCAATATACCAACTAGTGGTCCCGTTTTTAACACTTTAATAAGGATATACTTTCTAACATTATACCAAGTTAAAGTAGATTAAGATTATTAAGGATTGTTTTGGTATATATTTTAACGGAATTAACAGTTTAAAAAAGATGTAGATATAAACAAGGTACACCTTGTCCACACCTCAGGCTACCGAAAAACAGGCGGATTCATTATATTTGATATACACCAGGTATTGAACCTGAACAAAATCCCAAATTTTAGCTGATTCTTCCTAAAATGCTAAAATACTAAAATGCAACGATCGCACAGATACAATTTATAAGGTGAACCGCAATTTGTAGTCTTATTTTTAACACAATTTTTAGGAGGTGGTATCTGACATATGAAAAAGTTCAATTTTGTTAATAAATTTGGCTAAGTCCTTCAGACAATGAAAAAATCGAGGGTCAGTATTAAACATTATATTCTTTGCGATAAAAAAAAACATTGGCTAAGGTCCGGAAATTTCACTCTATTGACAATATTTTACATTCAGACCTAATGTCGGTTCCTACAGGGCTCAACAATAGTTCTCTTTAGCTCTATAGAAGGAAAATTTGAAGTGGGAATTATTTTAATAGAAAACCTTTAAGAAGTCTTTCATCCATCAAAGAAATCCAATAGATCTTGTGTAGATAGAAGATCCGCAAAAGATTTTCTATTGATAGAATACAGCCAATAATTATTTTATAAAAGAATAATCTCAACAGGTCCTTCCTCTATAGTTAGAAGACCACTAATATATATAGAAGACTATCAAAAATAACAATAATACCCCATTAATATATAGAAGAGTTTCTACGGATAAAATATCTTCTCCAGGTCTTGTAAAAGTCTTTGAAGAAGTCTTATACAAAACGAAGACTTTATATAGGTCTCCAATAGATAAAGAACTTCCAACAGATATTCTATAAGTGGTATTAAGAACAAGAGACAAATAATAGACTTACAATAGGTCTTATTTGTATGTATAGAGGATCTCATGAAGGAGATAGACGATCTCAGGTCTTTTATAGATATATGGGTTTTATATAGAAACAAAAGAAAACAGAATTTTTACTAAACCTATATATTTGATATAGTTTCTATAAATGAAAACAAGATTTATATGGTAACAAGTAATTTAATAATTTTTGTTAGGAATATTTTCCTCTCTATGAGAACCCTAATACTAAATTGGAACCAATTCAGTGGAAAAATGTTCCCAAAAGCTTAAAAATAATGTATATTGGGAGGTACCACTCTATGATAGCCACCCTGAAAAATGGACCAATAGTGAAAAGTTTTTGTTTGAAAATTGTATACCTAGTATGAACCCAACACACCAAACATCAAATTCGCAAAAGCTCCAAAACCTCAAATATTGTCAGTATCGTTATATTTGGGCTACTCTAAAAAATTGTACAGATATATACCATTTCCAGTACTAAACAAGCTAGGAGTAATCACAATTTGTGTGTCCAATTTCAAAGTTTTGTCTTCAGTATTGCGAGCTCTACCCTGACTTTAACATAGCTAAATCTGACCAATAGTATATAATTCGTGGGGTCTCAGATGAATATTTCGAAGCATTGCAAACGGAGGTGGAGGGTAGAAGAAGAGGTGCTTTTGACAGAAGATCATCTAAATGTATTATAGAAAGAATACCATACTCAGAGCTGCTACAGATAGAATTCCTGTATGAAGTCGTCTAAAATGAAAGACCCTCATCTAGTCTTTGATAGACGATATTAAGAAATTAATTGAAATATTTCAACAAGGTACCTTTAATAAATAACTGACTTTCAACAAATATACAGGGTTGCCCATATTCGACGGACCCATGTTTTTAAAAAAAAAAATCCAAGAATAATTGGCATCACAAAATTGGTCATCATGTCGCGATAACGCTCCTGATTGATGGTAACAGCATGACAATTTTTATTTGGAAGAAAATCGGCCCAATGACTGTTTTCTCACTAACGTCGCACCAAACTGTGACTTTTTCGTCATGAAGAGGCACTTCTTGAATCTCCTGAGGATTTTCAGTGGCGTAAAAACGGCAATTTTGCTTATTTACGGTCCCATTCAATGTGAAATGGGCTTCATCGGACATGATAATTTTGTTCCAAAATTGCTCGTTATCTTCGGCCATTTCGATGACTCTTTGGGCCCATTCCAATCGACGAGGCTTGTCCGCAGGCAACATTCTTTGCGTCAAGTGAATTTTGTGCGGGAACAAATGCAAATCAATGCGATTAATCCGTTGTAAAGTGGACCGAACCATGCCCAACTGCTGAGAACGGCGTTTATGGGATGTTCTTGGCGACCTCTCAGCACTGATCGCCTTGGTTATATGGCCTCTTCGGATTAGAAAGAGCCTTACCAGTCGAACATTTTTCGTATTTGGTAGTCATACATTTTTATGACTACCAATCATCTTGGAACCCACATTATATACCCATTTCATATAAACATTTTCTCACTAACCTCACATCATTTTCAAAATTTTTCAAAATTGACTTATTTCAACGACAACGATGCACAAAATTTACTCGTGAACACGGCTTAAATTCTATAATTGTAATTCTGTAAATTTTTAAAAATAATATTGTATATAAACTTATCACACAATCCACCCCACCAGCTATATGCAATTTTTCTAACTTGTTAACTAATTTAAAATATAATTACCTTTTTAACTTAGTTATATGATGTATATTCTCCTTTTCTTTCTATTTTTATTTCTATTTCTTTTCTTTGTTTATTTCCACCCCAAACTAAAAAAAATAAAAAAACTTTTAGTATAACGCTAAAGAAAAATGGAAAAGAACTACTGTGTAAATTAGGTACCTTTAATAAATAAAAAATAATAATAATATTAAATTATAATAAAAAACACTGTAATTGAATGTCAAACAAACTAAAAAAATTAATTAATTGAACTATAAAAACACACATACATACCTACACATTATTATAAGATAAAACACTCA